TTTCTGGGGCCTGCCCTCTCCCCCGTCAACTCCTCTGAGGCAGCCATAGGATAGCCATAGGCTTGTGGGTCTGAGTTTGTTTATGGCTCCTCAGATTGATGAAGTCTTTTGGATGAAACATCTCAACAAAAAAAAAAAAAAAAAAAGAAAGAAAAGAAAAAACATCCAGATGACTTGACTGAATATTGTTGGATTTTTTTACCTGGATTATTGAGCATGAACTTTGATATGAATAAATAATCATTTTTGTTATATACCTGTATCTGTCTGCACGCTTGGGTCCACTTCCTTACAAACAATTTATTAAAAGTTTATAGTCATCACACCATCGATGTGCTACTGATGGTGTGATGATTTTTTGTATGGCACAAGACTGGTTAGAATGAGATAACTCAGATTAAATATAAATGTTGTTTTCTTATGCTCTACTCACCGATAATATACATGACCATTCAAATGGACTCTCACCACCCTGGATGACTACAATCAGTTTAAATGATAATGATAGAGATGTTAATACTCATCAAGAGGAAAATGTGGGTTCATCATCACTGATATCATCAATGTTGCAATATTTAACAATAACATTGCAGTTGTATGCTTTTCCAAAGTTTTGACATCTAATCTATAGAATTTCCATCTTTTTTTTTTATGAGATTAAATAAATGTTCTGACATTTTTCCTTCTTCAGGTCATTGACTATCAGAAAGTTGTGTGTTTTCAATAATTTTCAAAATCTTTTCTTTGTCAGGCTCGGACTGTTCCCGTAATTTCACCAGTTCTTCGGGTCTCATCGAGTCCCCGGGCTTCCCCGACAAATACCCCCACAACCTGGAGTGCTCCTTCATCATCATCGTCCCATCCAGCATGGATGTCACCCTCACCTTCCTCACCTTTGACCTGGAGAATGATCCCCTGCCAGGCGGAGACGGAGACTGCAAATACGACTGGCTACAAGTGTGGGATGGTCTCCCAGGAGGTACATTTACTTAGAAAGATTTTGTTCTGGGTCATGTTATTTCCAAAAACAGTATCTTTGCCCCAAATGTGAAAGGAAGGTTTAGCAACACCTCACCTTGTGTGTATCCTGTTCTGCCTACATCATTATTGACTGTGGTAGAGCAGCAACTATTTTAGTAGCTGCGTGTTGGTAGATGAAAGCAAAGCTTACAGGCAGGATGCTGGCACCTGTTGTGGAGAAACCAGACTTTTAAAGGGGAAATAAAACAGGAGTTGCTGAGCAGAGGGAAAATAAACTATTGGAGACAAGAGGCAGAATGGTAAAAGACCAAGATATTTCTGGTTTAGTTTAAAATACCATTACTGGAGGAGTTCAGAAGGACAAATCTATAAGGGTCTTGGATTTATGTGCAAGCGATGGAAGAAGAAGAGAGAAATAGAAAGCAGTGGAAGGGCAGCATGAAGTCCTCTGGAGCTGGAAAGTCAGGAACAAAGGAAGGAGATGTTGGTTTGAACATGAAGACAAGAAGGTTTGTGGCTTACTTTAGAATGGATAAATAACATTTCATGAAATGTCAGAAACTGGGACTAAAGCGAAGGTAACGGATAAGCTAGACTGCACCATTCTTTTCAAGCTTCTGCCATCACCTAAACATAAAGAACTTCCTTTTAAAATCTTTGGTATTAAAAATGGACAATTTGACTGGAAGCAGTACCACTTACAAAATCTTGTAAGAAACTAAAGAAATCATTCAGCCATGAAGAATTTATCTTTGTTAAGAGTAACGGAAACAAAGGTGCTGCGTTTTGCCAAGAACTTTACTGTAAATCTACAATTTTGCCTGTAGGGCCAATGAAAATAATAGTGTTGATGACAGCTGCTGACAAGGATAAAAGAGTAGAAAGATTACAGATGTTTTTTTTCTACATTCTGCAAAATAGAGGAAAAAAGGAAGAGAAAAAATGGAAGGCTTCTGCTTTTTGTAAGAAAGGGAGACAAAGAGAATGACAACAAGATGAAATAAATAGCTGAAGGTGAAGGAAATTTAAGGGTGCGAGTCAGAGGTGAAGGACTTCTAGTTTGATTTTGTATCCCCAGTAGGGGGAGAAAAGAACAGGATAAATACAAGCAGGAAAACACTGTGCTTGAGCGTATGAGGTAAAAAAAAAAATGGGTGAAGAAGGAAAAGATGTTGAGAAATTAACCTAAAGGAAGAACAGATAAACAGCCCAAGAACTCATTTTTTTCTTAAATTAAATAAGAACAGAGAGAGAAAACAAGAAAAACAGATTAAAGTGTGCATCTTCATTTGGTCCAGTGTAAACACACATGTATAACACATGTAAAGGCATCAGTGTGCTCAAATTGATCTCTTCTGATAAATTGTTTCCAAACCCACTTGAGATTAATTTATAGGCTCCAAAAAATTAAATCTACTATATTTTCTATTTCTGTGGCTCTGCTTGTCTTATGTTTCCCTTCTCCTCACCACCATCAAGAAAAGAGTTATTGCCATTATTTGCTTAAGAGCCCTATTTCAAATATCCAACCATTCCAAAAGGGAAGAGAAAAATCAATCGCACCCATCGATCGCTGGCTATTTTCTCACCTCCTCCACGGCAGGCCTCTTCATGTGTATATCTCTGCGTGTAAGACAAGAGCTGGGAGTTTGCAGGGTGAATGTGGTATTATCTCTGCCCCCACTCCCTCACACACACATACACACAAATACACACATACCTCTGGGCATTAAATCACAACCATCTGTTTATGTTGACACATTGACATTCTGTGGTACAGTAAGCTGTTAGAGAGGAAGACAGCACAGGAATCACTTAAATCCTTGGATTGTTACAAACGCGCACACTATTTACTTGTAGTGCAAGTTGTAAAACCACATTTAGTCCAGAGATAGAGATGATAAATGAAGGGAAGAGAGGTGACGACTCGAGGCGGATGAGTAGTTGTCATTTTAGGAGGAAAGAATAGAGATAAAAGATAAAATCATGAAAGTAGCAAAAGGTATAGACAAACAATTGTAAGGGTTTGAGGATGAAGGGATTTAAAAAAAAAGATCTCTATCTTGACACGAGGATGAGTGAGATGTTGTGTGACTAACACTGCAGGATGAAGTCCTGTCTAGGAGTTTGACAAATAAATAAAGATATTAAAGACCTAGATTTCTCTGAAGGAATCCACATCACTAAGAGCTTGTGCAATTTGTTAGTGCTCAAAATATGTGCTGGGTACAATCTCAGCTAGGACAACACTCAATATCTATAAAACTGAGTGAGATGTAGCAATTATTGTGTTTTTTATGGTAAGTTAGCTGTGACAATGATCTTGGATCTACGGTGGCCCTAAGGTGAACAACATTTGAAAAAACAGAATTACATTTGAAAAAGACACAATAAAAACACAACAACATTTGAAAAAAAACAAACAAAAAAAAAAGGAATTACATTTGAAAAATGGAGTTATGTTAAGCCAAAGCAGAAGTGGCCAGAATCACATTTGAAAAAACTGATTACATTAGGCCAAACCGGAAGTGGTGTGTGTATTGTACATTGTTCTGTTGTTCTCTTTTATGCTGTTAATAAAGTACCACCCCCCACCCCCCCACACACACCTCCGGTTTGGCCACTTCTGCTTTGGCTTAATGTAATTCTGTTTTTTTAAATGTTGTTGTGTTTTTAGGGGGGCAAGATGGTCTAGGGGAAGCCTGAAGGTCCTGGGTTCGATCCCCTGTCATTGCACATCTCGTGTCCTCTCTGAGGAGGACACCCCCCTCCCAGTTGCTCCCCGGGTGCCTCCAAAGGCCGCCCACCACTCTGCCTGTTGGTGGATGGGTTAAATGCAGAGAGCCAATTTCACCATTGTATGGGAACATACAATGATGAAAATACATTATTATTATTATTATTATTTAAATGTAATTCTGTTTTTTCAAATGTTGTTCATTTGCACCTTAAGGCCACTGTATGAATCAGGTTTACTCTGGCTGTTTATCAGTTGTTGTTCATCCAATGATCAGTCTGAAAGTTGAAATGAAATTTGTTCCATGGTTTATGAGAATCTTTGGTAACAGACAAACATTATTGCCCACGCCTGCTTTCAGCAACAGGTGAAAATGATAGTGAAATAGATAATTCAATAATTCTTGTTGGATTCTCAGTGGGCCCCTTGATTGGTCGATACTGCGGGACCCGGGTTCCTCCAGAGATCCATTCATCTACTGGGATTCTCTCGCTGTCCTTCCGCACTGACATGGCTGTGGCTAAAGATGGATTCTCGGCTCGATACAACATGACACACAAGGAAGTCAGTGAGAGTAAGTTCAGTGTATGTCTAGTAGTTAATTTCAAAATAAAACTTGTGATTACTGGTTATAATTCTTCCTTTTTCCTGTCCACTTGTAGCGTTCCACTGTAGTAACGCCTTTGGGATGGAGTCAGGAAAGATCACAGACGAGCAGATCACGGCATCGTCGAGTTTCCCCGATGCTCACTGGCTGCCGCGTCAGGCGCGACTGAATTACAAAGAAAATGCGTGGACGCCCAGAGAGGACAGCAGCAGAGAGTACATCCAGGTAAGAGTTCAGCTTTGACATACAAACAGATGAAGAGAAAATGGATAAAAGGATGTGAATGTACTTTAATAGCCCCATCCTGGCAAACTCTTTTGTTGCAGCAAAAATACTGTAACAAGTTAACAGCGTGACAATCAAGATGTAGCGCAACAACTCATAATCTGTGCAAAAAAAGATTTCAACTGTAAAAATGTTCTGAATGTGAAATAGCAGAGGCAACAATAACTAGATAATTTGCATTTCCTGAGAAAATGTAGTGGGAATGCTTATCGCTGAAGAACTTGCTGAAAAACAGCTGAAATTAGCTACAAAAAAAAACCATGCTGAAATATAGCTGAACTAGAACAACAAGGGTAAAATAGCAGAAGAAAGCAGAAAGAACACATATGTTCTGAATTATGTTTAAATAAGCAGAAATGAGCACAAAAATAGGAAATTAGCTAAAAAAAAAAAAAAAAAAAAAGCTGAAATTAGCTAAATTAGATGAAAAGTAGCTGAAAAGGCAGAAAGAAGCTTAAACTACCAGGATGTGGAAAGAGATGAAATTATCTATTAAAAAAAAAAAAAAAAAAAAAGTGGAATTAGCTGGAACAGCGAAAATTAACATAAAAACAACTCTAGTAGCTGAAATAGCAGAAAAGGCTGAATTTTGCAGAAATGAGCAAAAAGAAATATAACAAGCTGAAATTAGCAGAAAGAAGTTAGAAGAAGCACAAAATGTTGTAGTTAGCATAAAGAATCAGAAAAGAGCACAAAGCAGTGGAAAAAATCAGTTGAAAGTAGCTGAAAAAGGTTTAAATTTGCACAAGGAAGTTGAACCAGAACAAAATGTGAAAGGAGCAGTAAAAGGTTGCAAACAGATCTAAAGATTTGAAGAATGTAAAATTTGTTTAATTCATAATTTTTCATTCAAGGTGACAAAGTTTGTTGTGCATTGTAACGGCCTGGTATTATTGCAACTCAGGTTGGAAACTGTATTAATCAGAAAGGACTTTGTATGGGAATTTTCATACTTTTGTTCATCAAATTGTGACAGAAATTCAAAACATCAAAATTAAAATGACACTTGATTATCCGTAGATGCATGTCTAGTGATTTCATTAATATCTGTCCACTGGTTCATAAGTTATTGTGCTTACAGGCAGATAAACACACATTGTGACATTATACAATTAGCCACTTGTCGTAGCAACAGGTGATAGATTTGTTAAAAAGACTTTACTATGCCAAAGTTAAAAACAGATTGCCTTCTAGCTTTACCACCATTTTTGTCCTAGTGTTGACATAATATGTCTATAACAGATGTATTGGTGTCACTGTGTGAGTGATAGCAGGGACTGGGACGGAGGTGTAGTGCGATTAAGGTTCAGCGGCCTGAGTGAGGCATTGTTTCCTGTGTTCTATCACAGCGCCAACTTTGTGCCGTCCCTGAGCTAAGCTTGAGTTATGAGGCTGTCTGGATGAGAGGAAAAAGTGAAGGTGAGGTTCATTCAGGGCAGCCAGAGACGGCACTTTTTTTCTGCACGTACCCACTGTAAACAATAGATTATCTTGTTGGCTGGCACCTTCTGATAGTCTCGCAAAGCCAGAGCTGCAGCTTTGTGTTTGCCTCTGTTAAGGGCAAATAAACCTATAGAAAATTGGTTTTGTTTCAGGAGGTTCACTGCATTCTTTCTGATCTCTAAAATAAAAAAAGTGTTGCAGATGTTTTACAAACCTTTTGAAACATCTCACTGATAAACCACATTGATCATAAAAGTTTAATGGTTGCAATGACCTCAAAATTAGGTGTGACAATTTAACCATTTTTAAATATATATCTAATATTTATGAGAAAACAACAATATAAAAAAGATTTTACCAAACATTTTCTTTTCCTATGATTCATGCGCACTATAGCAGTTATCTTGCAACTCATCTGCAGATAGCTACACCTCAAAACATAAAACTATCCACTCTGCTTTACTGATAAACCTGCCTACCAGAGTCAAATAAGTATTGTCCAGATTTGTTAGAATTTTTTTTAGCCCAGAGTAACTTAGTAATACCTTTAAGGATATATGATACATTTATTTTTGTAAAAAAAATCAGTGTTTAGCTGAAGACTTTGAGCCTTTCTGAAATATTTTCTTGCATATTGCTTCTTCTATACAAGTACGATCAATTAGTGAATCATAGCTAGTCATAGACAGATGTGGGTTTAAAGTCGTGATTTGGACCTCAGATGTTTGAACCTCTGCTACAGCCAGAGATGGTCCCTGAAATACACAAAAAGGGGATCTCACCAAGAAGCACAAAACAAAGATCAGAACACAATATCACATCACCTTTTACAGCTCACACACCACAGCCCAGTTACAACTCTAATGCATTAAAGTATAATATTAAAAAAAGAGTTACAAAAAGACTATTCATGTTTCATCTAGCAGAAAGTAGGGCCCTTCACGTGGATGTCATATGTAACGTTGGTGGCACCAAGGTTAGAGAAGACAAGCCTGTGATTGGAACATTGCTGGCTCGACTCCCCAGACAGACAACAATCAAAAATGTGGGTGGGAAAGGTAAAGCATCCACACCTGTCTCTGTCCTCATTTGTCCCACACTGGGTCCATGAGAAAGGTCCCTATCCATTATCTGCTCACCTGGGCACCCTACATGGCAGCTCTCTGCTCCACACTGAGGACTGTGGTAGCTCGGTGGTCTGTGGTTGTGTGAGGAAGGGCATCTGGCATAAAAACAATTGCCATGTCTTCATGTGAGATTGTTTGCTGTGGTGACCAACTGAAAAAAGAAGAAAGAAGACATAAACACACACTTGGAGTCCCAGTAGTATTTAGCACTAACAAGGTGAATCTCAAAGAGCTTTCATTTGAAACCTTGGCAGATAGTCAATGATCAGGTCCTCTCAGGTCCTGTGTCAGGTCTTTGGAAGAACTTTCAGGCTCAACACTTGTGAGGTTGTCCTTCACTGGTCCATGTTTGTCAGTTTAAAGCACACTGTCCTGACAAAGTGCGACATCCATACAGACAATGAGTGGAAAAGCAGCCAAAATAAAAATAAAATGCAAGGAAATACTGTTGATGATCATTAAGAAACATCAAGAAAGTTTGTCTGCTTGGATGCTATTTTTATAGAAATGAGGACTGGTTTGAAACTTGTTGCACTTTGGGCTGAGTATGTGTTGGTTTTGTACATTTCAACTTAGCTACACATATTCAAGAACCACTGTGTGAGTTTAATCTCTCTAAAATACATTCTATTCTATTTTATTCTATTCTATTCTGGTCTTCTTCTCCGTCGTGAGGTGCAGATTGATGGCTCGAGCCCCGGTGGTTCTGTTGTTCTAACAGCTCTGTGATTGATGAGCATTCTTCCCTGGGAAAGCTCACTTAGCATTTCTCTCCTTCTCCCTCTTTTCATTTGTTCTTCACCTCCTTCTTTTCTCTCTATTCCTACCTTACTTCTTACGTCCGCGTCTCCTCCTCTCGTCCTCTGTCCGGGACTATTGATTAGTTGTCTTGCTGGATCTTGTTCATGCTGTATCAGTGCAGGTGTGTGTGTGTGTGTGTGGGGGGGGGGGGATTGTTGGAAGTAATCTAAAACACCTGTCTCTCTGACAGATAACAAACGCAGCGTTTTACCTCCGCCGGTGTTTTGTACTATAGCCCATGGGGCATACAGCACACACTCGCTGCGCTTGGATTAATCTACAGGTTTCAGCTGCTCCAATGGAGAAGAATAAATGTTATCGCCTACAGGAGATCCTTTCTCATCTACTGCTTTCCATTTTTCGGTTTGGACTTTGAGAAACCTGACACTCTTGCTTCGCACCCATAAAGTGCTGAAAAAGTTTCAGGTGCATTTTACTTAAAAATCTTAAGTCTTCAGTTTGTCATATTTATCAACATAAAGCAGTTGTTCTTAGTGACTGATCGTTAGCAGCTTTAAGATTAAATTTCCAGAACACTATATTAATTTTATGTGATAGCAGGTATTTTTTTTATGAGAAAGCATCCATTAAATTATATATATATATATATATATATATATATATATATATATATATATATA